TGATGTTTGTGAAATAGCATTGTGTGTACTCAGCTTTGTGGAAACTAATGCTGTATTTTTAAATATCATGAGAAACAGCATGTAGGTGGCCAAGGGCAGATTCTTGACAAATCATAGAGTTTGAAGAGGTTAAAAATGGACTTGCAGAGGTTTAATGATTTAAACTACATCTTTTCCAAAACTTCCCAAAGAACAGACTGAAGAAGAGGGCAGAAAACTTTGTAACTACACAGCTCTCTGTTGCAAGAGCAGCCCTGCAGAATTATGGGATATCCTATAGCACTTAAATATCAATTACTTTCAAAGGGTAACCTTTGTTATGTAGGCAAACACAGCAGCCAAACTGCATACAACAATGACAGATAATCAGCTATTTTGTTTTTTTTGGAGATGTTGATTGAGGGATCAAGGAGTAACCAAGTTGGCAAGGAGAGCAGGTCTGCTGGTGCCAAATTGATGATCTATCATACAGCCCTCCCAATTTTCCTTCTGACTTCAATACCATTGGTTCCATTTCCCAAAGGCTGCAAGTTTGAGCCAATATGTATTTTTAAATGAACAAATGAGTTTATACTGAATCTAGAAATTCACTCAAGAATGCAGCCAAAGCTGGATTTAAATAATTTAAGGATTTGGCTGCAGCTGAGTAAAAAGTGAGGAAAGTTGGACTTCGTTTTAAACTTCTGGCTTAGATTTAATGAAGAGTTTTTGCAGGTGCAATTTTAATTGTTCAAATTATGTAGAAACTTAAAAAGAAACAATATTGCTCAAACAAAACAAGAACAGAAATTGCTGGAGTAACTCATCTGTGGACAGAAAATGGAGTTAACGTTTCTTCAGAACATGAGTGCAACAAGGAAAAAGTACATTGAAAGCAAAATACTGCAAAACCTAAGTGCTGAAAAATCTCTGCAGGTCTGGTAGAGAAACAGAGCTAACATTTTGAGTCTGATATAACTCTTCGTAAACGAGTGTGAAGTCTATTCTATTTTGATTTAGGTGTCTCGTGCTTTAAAGGAAATTAGTCATTTCAACTTCCTGAAAAGGAAGCAAAGTAGTTGACATTCTAAAAGCATCAAATTGTTTCCTCCCAAGAGATGTCACATTGCATTGCTGCAGCTTATTTTGCAATCAATTTTGACATGTAATAGTGAATACATGGAAAATAAATATACTTCCAGGGTATATACCAACCCTTCTTCACTCACACACACACACACACACACACACACACACACACACACAGAGAGAGAGAGAGAGAGAAATGAGATAAATACTGAAGAAGTTGATCTAATCCCTCTCTAGTGCCTGTTGTCTTCAAGCAGATGTGGTAAATGAATGTAATTGAGAATTTACATCTGCAGCCATAGATCAAATTATTGGCTTAAACTTAATGGTGAAAATTAGACACATTTTCACCAAAAAAAATTATGAAGGATAGGCCCACTATTGGTATTGTAGAATGTTTCACAAGTCGTGATTATACTATGGTGCAAAGTTCTCAATAGGACTACCAAAATATGTTTAAATAAAGCTAGAAAATAGTCTTTACCTACAGTAAGAGTGAAAATCTCATGGGACTACCTCATTAAGCTGCGTTATTCAATGTTGGTCACATCTGAAGTACTCTATTTATCTAGTCATTTACATACAACTACTGATCATATTTTCATCTTGCATAAAAAATTTAGCTGGGAGAGTGATTCAAATGGAATTTTCTAGGATTATTTTGTTCTACACTGGAAAATATTACTTTAGAAAGGTGTATAGTTTTCTCTAGGTTGAAAACTACTACATTATTTTACATTTATCACAAATAGATATATGCAATTTAATGAAAGCAATATATTGATGGTGCAGGAATTCAGAAATAACAACAGATGAGCCTTTGAATGCGTAATATACTGGTCTTCACCTTCCATCCCACCGGGATGATCCTCTGCCATTTCCAGTTCCAAACATGTCCTCCTCTTCCTTCCACTGTTCACATTTCACAGGACCCATTCCCTCCATGACACCCTAGTTCAGTCTTCCAAGACTCTTAACGCTCCCTCACCAACATCCCCAGCACCTTCCCACGCAGTCGCAGAAGGTCTAACACTTGACCTTTCACCTCCTCCCTCTTTATTGTCCAAGGCACCAAACACTTTCCAAACAAAGCAGCATATTCCTTGTACTTCTTTCAACTAATCTATTGAATCTAATGGTCACATTGTGGTCTTCTTTACAACAGTGAGACCAAACACAAATTGGGTGTCCACTTTGTGGAACATTTTCACTATCTGTCAGAAAGACCCTGATCTTCCAGATAATTATTATTTTCAATTAACTACCATGCTCCTTCATTAACATTTCTGTCTTGGACCTGCTACAGTGTTTCAACAAAGACCAATGCAAGCTAGAGGAACAATGCTTCATTTTCCACTTAGATACTTTACAGCTTCTAGGACACAACATTGAATTCAACAATTTCAGAGCATGATGTCTATCCTCCATTTTGATTACAATCCAAACCATCATTTCCTGGCCCTTTTCACTTCTAAAGAAGTTCTATCAGGCTCAAAATGTTAACTCTGTTTCTCTGTCCACTGATGTTGCCAGACCTGCCGAGAATCTCCGGCATTTTCAAGTTATGTGCAATTTTAAGCTTTGTTCCGCTATAGAAATATACTGCTCTCTTCAATTCCTTGGCTTCAGATACCAGTTTGCATCAGAGATGGATTGGAACTCATAACAGCCATATAATACTCAGCTAAGTTAGGACATAATAAAAGGAGAATAGTTCCAGTTCTCCAATATACACATTTAAGGATTTCCTCCAAGACTGGGAGAAGCGCCTAGTGAGAATTTAGATGATGATTTTCCAAGTGATGGAGAATAAGGAGATTCCTCCCACAATCCACTTTGTCTCCTTTCTCGAAGACGGTAGCAATGGCAGCATCCCTGGGGATTTTTTCTCTGTCCCAGATTTTCAGGGACGTTTAAGTGAATGGGTAAAGGTCTGGCAGATGGAGTAAAATGTTGATAAATGTGAAGTCATCCATTTTGGTAGGAATAACAGTAAAAAGGACTATTATTCATGGTTGGTTTGCAGGTACAACAGGTAATTAAAGAAGGCAAATGGAATTTTGTCCTTCATTGCTAGAGGGATTGAGTTTAAAGGCAGGGAGGTTATGTTACAAATGTATAAGGTGCTGGTGAGGCCACACCTGGAGTATTGCGTGCAGTTTTAGTCTCGTTACTTGAGAAAGGATGAACTGGCACCAGTGGGGCTGCAGAGGAGATTCACTAGGTTGATTCTGGAGTTGAGAGAGTTGACATAATGAGGAGAGACTGAGTAGACTGGGATTATATTCATTGGAATTTTGAAGAATTAGAGGAGATCTTATAGAAACATATAAAATTGTGAAGGGAATAGATAGGATAGAAGCAGGGAGGTTGTTTCCATTGGCAGGTGAAACTAGAACAAGAAGGCATAGCCTCAAAATAAGGGGGTGCAGATTTAGGACTGAGTTGAGGGGGAACTTCTTCACCCAAAGGATTGTGAGTCTGTGGAATTCCCTGCCAAATGAAGTAGTTGAGGATTCCTCATTGAATGTTTTTAAACTTAGATAGATAATTTTTGAACAGTAAAGGAATTAAGGGTTATGTGAGAGGGTGGGTAAGTGGAGCTGAGGCGACAAAAAGATCAGCCATGATCCTACAGAATGGCGGAGCAGGCTTGAAGGGCCAGATGGCTTACTCCTGCTTCTGGTTCTTATGTTCTATTCGAAGAAGGTGACAAGTAAGCTGTGCTCCTCCAAGTTTGAAAATCTCTGCTGGAACCCAGTCTACTCCTGTGGATTTTCCATTCTTCATGTGGCTTTTGGCAGCTTCAGTTTCTGCCAAACGAGGTGTGAGTCCAAGATAATTGTTAGGAAGTTGATTTGGGCGGGGGGGGGGGGGGGGGGGGGGGGG